TAATGAAGTGAGACGATGCTTTATTAATGGGATCAGCTGTTATTTGGATCAGCTGTTATTTAGATCATCTGTTACTGGGATCAGCCGTTACTTTAGCCATGATAGTTTATTTTAAGTTCAATGATCAGGAACAGATTTGGATTCAGTTTAGAAATCCTCAAAAACCTACCAACATTTCCCAGGATTGATCCGCAAACCTTTGATTGTCAGGCGAGAATTATAACCACTCAGATTACCAACCAATAATAATAATGATTTCAAAGAAATAATTTTACATAGCAAAATTGAATGCTAAGAAGTATAGCACATGTAGAAAAGTATATAAACATAGAAAATATCAAATACCCAATAATATTGCAATCTTGTATGTTTTCACAATTAATGGAAAGCTATATTAAAACATTGTAATGTGATATACAGTAGGTATATTGAATGCCTTGAGTTAGTTCTCAAAAACTATTTATGACAATGAAACTTCTGCAAAGTGTTCTAATTCATCTATCGAGACAAAATAACTTAGCTAACCTTTATTTTTCTAACAAGGATTTGCAAATGTGCTCCATCGTTATTCTAACAAAAACAAAACGAGCAAAGTGAACGTGATTTGCTATGTTTCGACCTTTTATCTACAACACAACACTGCAGTATATAAGGTGAGGGTCAGCGGTTCCGTATAAAGACAAGACAACGCTTGGAAGGCTGTTGTCGAGCCATCCCGATATGGTGGACCAGCTTGGAATAATGTGTGTAATAATGGCGTTTGAATTTAAAAATTTTCGCACAATTTAAGATGTGATGTAAGATTATAAATTTAGCCTTTGAATACTATCTTAAAATATATTAAACGTAAACAAGTAGACAGGAAGAAACACAATAGAATCAACTCAAAGATGAATCTTAAGCAAAGTTGCAAAAATTTGTTAGACAAGGAGTTAAAGACAGTTTTGTATGTTTCAAAGTCGTTAAAAGATATGTGAGTAGATATGAAAGGTAATTAAAAATATATGAAATAGAACAGTTAATATTTTATTGCGAACAAATTATTTTGAACGGTTGTATAAAGAGTTTGAATCTTAAAATTCAAATTTTGTAGTACTTTTGTTTAAGTTTATTCCAATTTTTTTTGTCAATAATACATTAAAGGATTTCTCTGTAACACCTCTTTTTCTTTTGCTCTACTTTATTTTTCTATTTAGGTGTCATCTAAAGCGTTGACGAATGTAATTAAAAAGTTAATACAATTTTAGGCTTCGCCATCATTGAAATAAGTTTCGATCTTTCAGTTGTATGTTTAATCACAGAAAAATTGTAATAAAGAGTCAGAATAGTTTGTCAAAATTTAATTTTTCCTTTAAATGTAACCTAATTGATTAAGTGAATCAATCATGCCATATATTTACAACTAACCGATTTAATCTTTTGTAAAGTAGTAGTTATATTCACCTTATAACTTTTTAAACATGATCTTTGATAGGCCAAGGGGTATTTGCATTATTCTTTTTACCTCGTAAACAAGATTTGGACTATTAAAATTCTAAGTCATCGTCACGGTCCTTTTATATTCCTTCAGTCTTTGCTCGTTTTCTTGTCAACAGATAGATTTTACAGTCCAAAATTAGATCGTTATTGCACACGACCAAATCAAGACAAATTACCTTCAAGAGGACAACCAAGACAATCGACACCCAATATTTCCTCTACTGTTGCCTCATTACGTAATACCAGTGATTTACTACAAGATTACTTCAAGCTTTGTAACTCAAATCTGTAATCCTATTACTTCCAACCGTACCACGCGGAACATCCAAAGTAACCGGTTCAAAGAACGATAACCTCAACCTTCAGTTGTTTATGGATAATAACCTCAAGTTATATAGAGTTCATGTTTACCGTGGTGGTTTATACTGGGTAGCTAAGGTGTCACCAAGGTATATTATGAGCCATCGGGGCGCAGCCCACACCATGGGTCAGTGTCCTAGGGTCAAGAGGTGGACGAACTGCGGAGGACGACGGTATGGGACATCACCAATAAGTCCAGACTGCGTTTTAGACTCGATATCGGCTTAGGAGTGTCTTTTTGATTGTCATAAGGACCAGCAAGCCTTATAACCAACAGTATTTTTCTAGTCAAAACGATTTGCAATGAAAAAAATGTTAAATGTGATAGGAGGGAATTTTTGGAATAAATTTCGTGTAGACAGAAATAAAATTACAGTTTACCAACTAAGCATTAAAAACACTACGTTCATTTTACTTGTTTTTTTTTTTTTTTTTTTTTATATTTACATTTGAAGTAAATTTTGATGATTTCTTTTCTTATATTGTATTATGTTTGTGTAATATAACTTACATAAGGGATGACTACATTTTGTTTAACTATTTATAATATTTCATTCTTTCATATCGTTCGATTGAAAACCATCCGATATGTTTTTTGTTGAGGCGAACTTAGGACCTCATGGCCCTTTCTTGCAGTTAACCTCTATGCTATCACATATACGCTTTCAAATGAGTTTTGCCTTGGTTGATAGTATTTTGATCCAACAAAAATATGTGTGACAAAATACTAAATTGATCCATAAATCATTTTGTTATCACCATATTGTTTATTATTTACATAAGTAACACGATCTCAGCATTTGTATACTCCTAGCTACAAAAATCCAATCTCGCAATATATATCTATATATTAATAGTATTCAATAATGTTAACTAATTTAACTAGTTCAAACACACTAAAGGCCAATAAGTATGTTGTAATATCTACACGTGGTTGTAAACTTTTTAGTAAACATAAAACTTGCATCTGAGGTGAGCAAATAAACGAAGGCCTCAAATAAAAGGTTATGGACGATGAAAAGTTTGCATCCACTAATGTCTTGGTTATCACCGCTCTGTTATAAACCTCAAGTCTTGATGTTTCTCAAGGTAGTGGAGTATCGTCACATATTTCATCTTAGAAATAAACTGTTAAGTAAGTGTTTAGCATAAGACTCAGGTGGATTTAATTTAAAATTAGTTTTGTAAGTTTCGTTCGAAATTTTGAAATGTGTTCCTTCTTCATTAAAACTATGTATTGGGGTATCTAAAATGTCAAAAGTAACATCCACGTTGAGTTATAAGTTCTACGTAGAAAACCCTTCGTATTTTCTTAAACAAAGCGTACCTATTTTAGTGAAAGTTGTACCTTTCGTTTTTGTATGTATTGCTTACATTTCTGATGAAATAAATTTCCCGCTATAGTTCCGAAATAATATAAGTACTTAAAATAGGATTTTCATGGGAAACAAGGTTTAATAATTTATTTAACTAAACTAAATATACTTTTGTTGAGGAGAATTATAGTTATTATAACTACTTTCCAAACAATATGAGAAATTGTTTAAAGTTTAATATTAAAGTAAATATTCAATGAAGCTTCTTTGTCTCAAAATCAACCAAAGATTGTTGATTGGTCTTAATAACGTATTCCTATTGTGGATATATTAATATTTATAAATAATTAGTAAGTAGTATTCTCAACATAGGAAACTAGGATTACGATTAATTGAACTTTGGTCAAATACAATTAAATTATTTTAAGGAAAGACATTGTCATTAGCTCTAAGAATACCAAAAGACTGACTCTAGTATTCAACAATTTTATTGTGGTACTTTTGGGAAAATGTTTAAACAATAAAAACTCTTCCATCAACTAAATACCGCAAAATGTGCTTTAATCTTTAAAAATCGACCCACAAAATGTGTCTCTTACGAATCATGTAAAACCTGCCCCTTTATGAAGGATGTAAAGTAGCCTTTCCTCTTGTCTCAGACCATAACAGGCTGAGGTTATATAAAACAAAGTACTCTAGAGATATAAACGTAAAATGCTGATAATGTCAGATGTTTCAGTGTAGTGTTAAAATAATATTGCCACCCTTATTGTAGACCTTAGGGCAGCTCTGTTATTTTTTCCTCGTTTGTAAGATATTTCAAAAATACAAAGTTTATACCTTGTCACATCGCATTCTTTAAATACTTTCCTTAAATAAACCCTTAATCAGAAAACTTAATGAATAATAGCCTACAAAATTAAAAAAAATTTAGCTCTAATGTATAAAAACCTTTTAATAAATTCATCAACTAAGCTAGCAACAAATAACCTTGATGATGAAGTATTCGTTTATAAAATCATTCTTAAGTACATACACTTCCTGGAAATTTAGTATAAAGCGTTATTATGCGCCTAATGTTTACGGAGAAAATTCCATGTAAAATTCCCATGTTATTCTTATGGAGAATAAGTAAAATTTTTTAGTTTGTTTATGAACATATTTTGAGACCCACTTCTAGAATAGCTAGAGATTTGAAGTATGGCACGATTGTAGGTCTTAGTCCCAAACCCCCGGGAAAATCCTAAAAAGTTTTTTTTACTTTAACCACCCCTAATTTTAGAATTCCCCCCATGTTATTCCTATGGGAAATAACATTGAAAAATGCCGACATTTGTACGCTCATCTGAACCATTTAGAAACGTGCTAGAGACTTTAAATTTAATAGTATTGTAGTATGGGATCTTACATTAACGGCGAAATTCGTAAAAACCCCATTTTCAAATTTTAACCCCCCCAAAAATCCAAAATGGACGTCTAAAAACGACAATCCATTATTTTCCCGAGACCTTTGTAACCACAGACAATATAATACTGTGGTTGTAACCACAACGGGCTCTGTGTCTAGTTATTAAAATAGTTGCTAGTTATTTATGCATTTATTTCTTACTAAACTATTAACATTAAAACAAAACATTTAACCCCCCTTTGCAGCAAACCCTAGTACTCGTCAAACTGATTACTGTATATTTAAATAGGCAATAAATGTGATACTGTATTTTTAAGGAAACATTTTAGTGTAAATCCAATCAGGCAAATGGAAATTCGCTTAGTCAGCATTTTTGCTGCGGGGTATTGAATTATATTATAATATTAATAAACTAACTTTAGATTTTTATTTTTCAGATAGAAATTGGAACGGTGTGCTTCAACTATAGGTAAGTTTGGTTAAACCAAATGAATACGATATTGTATATAGGGTCAACCGGGGCTAATTATGAACACACCAAAATATTGGGGCTAATATGAACAATGACTTAAAAAGTCATTTATCTGGGATTTTTAATCATGAAAAAAATATAATTAGAAAGGAAATTTATTGTATTTTTTGTGTCCATAATGAGAAAACTTCAAATTTGACTTTTAGGTACTTTAAAAAAATTCTTTGTTAAAACACTTTTTTCCGCCCAAAAAACTTTTCCGCGCAAAGTGAAAACTTTTGTTATAACAATTTTTACATTGGTTGTAGGAATAATCTTAAGCCTGAATTTTGTTAAATAAGAATTGGGGATTATTTTTCTTTTCCCAAAGTTAAAATATATTAATAATAGCCAAAGTTATAAGCTTTCAAAGTTGGGGGGCTAATGTGAACAGTGAATGGGGGCTATTGTGAACAGTACCACCTTCCGCTATGACGCTACAGTGTTAAAAACACTGGCTGACGGGGAGATCGAAGTGATGGGATTTAAATCCTGTGATGAGGAAAAAAAATCATTCCTGAAAAAAGAAGATGATATATTTATTGTTTCTACCACTGACATTTTGGGGAAACTTCCAGTCCCTAATGTATGTGGAACCAGTGATAGACATAACTATGTCTTCGACAAAATTGTCGAAGTTTTTGAGGCGTAAGTTCCTCAATAAACTTCTTTGAAGGCCTTACAGTGATAAAACAGTTTTAATTTTACAAAGACAACAGTTAAGGTGTTGAATAGGCCTAGCCCACATTTTTATATTTACCTAATAGGCCTAAAAGTGCAATAAAGTGTCATTTGCCTAAACGAACAATTTGCATTGTCTTAAATTAGGCTATTGTTTTTTTAAGTGCTTTAAACAATTTGTATGTGGAAGAAATTTTTAATAAATACTCAGGTATGTTGACAGATAATTTTTTTCTTGTTTATATCTTATTATTAGCCCTGTATAATATTTATAAATGGTTTAAAAAAAAGGGTTACCGTAGGGCGACCCGCGGCTCTCCAAAGATACCTTCATATCTCAAAAACTATTTAAGATAAAATATTGAGACTTATTGCAACTGGTAGACTAGACCCTAGGCTTGTTCACAACAGCCCCCACATATGCCTAGTGTTGTAAATAACAGAGTTATTAAGAGTGTTCACATTAGCCCCATGGGCTGTTCACATTAGCCCCTTTTAGTGGGGCTAATGTGAACAGTGGTTTTTAATTTTTTTTTTTAATAATGGTTACATTTATGGTTTTTGTTAGTAAATAAATAGATTCAGCTAAAAGAGCTGTATACACTACTATTTTTTCTTTTCTTCTGTCATTTACCATTTTTGAGTTAATGTCAAAAGTTTACTTTTTTTGTTCATATTAGCCCCGGTTGACCCTACTTGAGTTTTAAAAGAGAATATTAAGTAGTATGTTACTTTATTTACTCTCATTATCAAGAACATCTTAATCTTAGTTTCGTAAATTTCCTCTGTTCAACCTTTACAGTAAGCCTCACTTTCCATATATAAGCCCTACTGCTAGTTGTATTATAAACAAGGCTTAAGTTTAAAATTGAGGCTCTGCCCAAGCTTTGCTGAGATTGTGCTTCTACAAACCTGTTTAACAATAATGGGATGGTAATTTATAAATACTTCACTTGTATTGAAAATTTAACCTGCAACAAAAGATTACTAGGGTGAAGTATACCAAAATACTACAGGAAAATTGTGGCATTATAGGTGTAGTAGAATCCAGGACTTCGGGTACTGAGTTTTCGGGTTCAAATCCTGCCAATCACTAATGTGTTTTATCTTAGTGATAATGCCACAACCCTTCTAGACCTAGGCTGAATTTTTGTGAAAAACAATCCTAGGACAGAGCCTAGCGTCTTAGGACAAAAATTGACATTATATTGCCTATTGAGATAGGGACGTAAACCATGTGTTAATATTAAACCTAAATATTAATGTAGGGTGAGTGGAGAAAGGAGTGACATGAACTATGTACCTTTTTAAATGACCAAAACTACCTTCTGAATCCGGAACATTTGTTGATTAAGGGAAGCTGGGTCCAGTTTCGAACCATCAAAAAGCCACTTTTCTAAGGATTGAGCCGGTGAAGCAAGCTAGAATTATAACCATTCCATACCTAAATATTGTCATATATTTCCTGTGTGTAAGATTTGCTTAAAAAACCCCATATATGGCAGCAACCCTAAGATTTATTACCTTTTTACTGTCTTCAAAGGCCTTGGCTTAGTTTGTTTGTCTCAAAGGGATTTTTTTAAATGTATGTTGAAATAACGGTAGAATTATTTCTATGAATCAATGCATAAAAATAAAATTTTCACCCTTAAAACAATAAAAATTATTAAAGTCCATAAATTAACAATATATATTTTTGTTTTTACGAAAAAAACTACACATTTTCTGGGTTTTTAGTGATTTATCTTTCCTACCGAATCACCTCAACAAAGTTCGCTTACGACAGAATCATAGCAAACAATCTTATTCGCATCCCTAGCAAATCTGTAAACAAAGGCTACCACTAGGTTCATTATGTAGGCATTACGGCGCAGTAATACCAACACAACAGCCTAAGATCACCTTATGCAAACAGTGCTGCCAACCTCTGAATTGCAGATGAAGCTTATATAGTATAATTCGAAAATTATATAACCTTTTTTGAATAAATTATATGATTCTTGTTGAAGATTATGAAATACTGGGAAAAATTGTTTAAGTAGTTGGTTTTTTTTATACGGTGTGTGTTGTGTTAGTGAATACAATTTAATTTCTTTAAGGGAGTGAACAGTGTATACATTTAAAAACTATTCTGAAAATGGTTTGATTTGCTATAATAATATTTTCATGCTATAATATGTATAGCTATTTACTACTTATAACTCAAAAATAGCTGAACGCAGTCTAGTAGTATATTCTCTTAGTTTTCAAGTTCAAACAAGCATTTGGATCAGGTTATGACATTTGTTTCTTCAGAACGCAATTTGTTAAAACTGCCTCTTCTAATCAAATGATATCAGTTACTAACTCATAAAAATGTACGCTGTGTCAAGAGTTAACCCATTCTGTGATCGAAACGATGTTGTAATAATATGTGAGAAGCAAAAGCTGCAAGTGCAATAACTGTATCTGTTACTTACCGGTAACAGGTATCTATTTCGTCACGGGTAACTACATTACACGTTCTCTGCACGGGGCGGAGGTTATTTCTTACAAGCAAGATCTGCAAGTTGAATCTATCAAACTGTACCTGTGACTTACCGGTAACAGGTACCTATTCGTCACGGGTAACTACAACACACGTTCTCTGCACGGGGTTGAGGTTATTTCTCACAAGCAAGATCTGCAAGTAGAATCTATCAAACTGTACCTGTGACTTACCGGTAACAGGTACCATTTCGTCACACTTGACCGGAGCGGTTGAGTAGTGGTTATCTCTTAAAATCAAGAACTGCATGTGCAACATACCAAAGTGTACCTGTGACTTATCGGTAACAGGTTACATTGCGTCACAGGTAACCACAACACACGTTCTGTGATCGGAGCGGTCATGTTGTGGTTATCTGGTCCCTCGCCACCGTTCGGCACGAACTCTATTAATTGGTGTCTGAAGCAATAACATTTAAACTGGAAACGGTCGAGCTGCTTTTAATTGGATTACGAATCGTTTCTTTCACTGCAGGAAAATTGGTTGCATTCGGAACTAACAAATGATTAATTTGGTCGAGTACTGTCTACTATTCTATCAGAGGAGCGGTATTTTCGCAATCGTTCAATTAATTAGTTTCTACCCTACCTTAATACACGCCCGCCAACTATTAATTGGAGTTAATTCCATACGGAGTTCGTCAAGCCGTATTTGAAACGAGTTTTGCAGCGATAATTATTTCAGCACAGAATTTTATTTCATTGTTACTTATTTAATAAATAGCTTCTTAATCAGCAGTTTCCGTGTTGTAGATTTCACGAAAAGTACAAAATACCACAAAGCACTTGAAACTAACACCAATATTGTTTTAAGAAAACGGTAAGTACACGGTAGTGGTAATCGATTTCGATTGGACACTCCAATCATCATCAGACTTATAGGCGAATCAAGTACAAGCAAATTGTTTGGGATCCAAGTGTTTCAATGCTCGCCTTCAAATTTGAAGGTCGCTGGTTCAATTCCCTGCAAGATTGTTACTAGTTTCAGATACAATTTGTCATTGGGCTATAAATTAAAGATGCTATGTAACAAATAGTCAACGTTAGAAAGTAACAAGACCAGGGTTTGGACCGTTCCCTTGTAAAAAACGTAAAAAGATGCTAATGAAATAGACACACATAAATGAATGAATAAACATGTGATTAAATACATGTTGAACACTTCCCAGCAAACTCAATTTCTGTCCCCGGTTGAGAATTCACAAAAGACCAAACTAGATACAATGGTTTGAAAGTTCCCTCTGAATCATTTTCTAAGCAAACATGAATCAAATTTTCGATTGCGTCACTTTAAAAATGACGCATATCAACCTTAGCACTATTACGCATGGCAACCTTGTCCAAGAAGCCAGGTAAGTATGACATAGTAGTTCAGGACTTGCCAAATGTTCATCCGGTTGCAACTCTGAACAAAAAAGGACTCAGATATATTTCACACCTATGATTTAAGCAATTAAAAATCAAGTGAACCTGCTAGACCTTGAGACTGGTCTGATTCGAAAGGAAACTACTAAGGACAGTCCAGTACAGATGCACTTAGTCTAATTGCAAAGGACATAAACAGCTGTCCTTGATACAATGTTGCAGTTTACAAATGATACATTCACAGCTGACGATGGCGGGAACTTCATTTCAAGTTTTATTGCTCCATAAGAAACTTTGCCGGGAAGTACAGTAGTTGGTGACATAACTCTGTCTACTTTGTTGTCGGTGAGGGAAACATTAGGAATGTTTGTGAAGTTGACTGTGCA